GGGTGGGTGGGTGGGTGGGGGCGGGGGTGAGGTTAATATTTTGCCATTTTATTTAGTCATTCTTGCATTCATTCCTAGGAAATTGAGTTTCAACATCTAAGAACATTTAGAAATATGTAGCCGTTTGCCATTGATAATACAAATCCACAAACATACAGTTACACGCTACATGCACTTTAGGGATGCAAGGCTGGAGTATCCAGGGAATACCATGTGAGACAAGGAGAACGTGCAAATACTGGACAGACACACGCACACACCCGAGGGTTTGCAAGCCCCAAACCCAGGTCCTAATAGGTAGCAAAAACGTGGACCATCTGGGGGTCCCTGAGGACCGGGTTGAGAAACATTACTATAAACCTTCCTCTGTCACAGAAGTGCTGCGTCACAAATGTCCCCTGTGTACCCCCTAGGGCTGTGGCCCTCTGTCTGCCAGCGACTGGGCCCTGGCCGTATGCACCTCTGTTGGGGGAAACGCCGGCGGCTCCACCACCGTGGCCAAGGGGACAGGATACACCACAAATATTACAGAGGCCGTCCACTGGGCGAAGGAGTTCGCAAAGGGCAATTGGAGGAGCTGAGCGCACTGGGACATCACCTGCTGTCTGTTTCTCATAGAGAACTACCTTGTTATTAAGGGACTGTAAATAATTGTTCTTGTATAATTGTTGTATAACATTCATGGAGGAAATTGAATATTATGTGGAAGATCAGCAATGTGAAATCCCCTTCATAATATCCAAGTGTGGTTGGGGTTGGTCTCGCTGTTATTTTATTATTGTTTATATTGGTGTTCACATCTGAGTGGAAGATGGTTGAACGCGAGGCATTGAGGACCTTAGCATGGAGGACCGTGACTCTATGATACTGCCAAACGTTAAATCTCCAGCTTCTGGCGAGGACGACCTCTGCTGCCTGCAGCAGACTAACTGGAAACAGTTACTCACATATCACTTACAAAAATCATTTTCATAACTGAAGTTTTATTGCCTCCTTTTACGGCACAACATTTTATAGTCTTCTTTTAATTGGGCTAAATATTATTTTAATGATAATTACAATGATAAAATCCCAAAACACATGTACGCTAAATAAAACCATTATATAACTGGTATTGTTTCAAATGCTATATTACTATTGCATTCCTGCATAATTATTCTTAATATACTGCAGGTGGAGACTGTGAAGACTTCCATCTTTGAAGCTTTAGAGTAGAGTGAAAGTCAGCCACTAGAGGGAGACAAAAGCAACACTCATAAACCAGAAATATCTATCAGACAATGCAGCCACAAACATTATTTGCAAGATTTCAGTTTTGAAGCTGCTTCACTTGCTATTTATCAACAGTTTTTGTGCTACGCTGCCCAGTACTAGCAGGCCAACTTCGGATGACTTACCTCTGCAAAGTTAAAGCTCACCATTCCAGAATTGTCTGTGTCCAGGCTTTTAAATATTTCTGTTAAAACATGTTTATTGCATGTTACAATTGAATTGAAGCATCAAAATACATATGAAACAATATTAAACAGTGAGATTACTATGAAGCTTAAAAACAATAGGATTTATGTACACAGCAATATGTTCATGTTACTACTCACTAAACATGGCCTCAAGGCGGATCAGGCACCCCACAAAATTATCAAAATCGATGGTCAGGTCAGCCTCACTGTATCTGGCCACCACGATCTGGTGCAGAGGGTTGTTCAGCAAGAAACCTGAAGACAGAAGAAGGTCTCAGTGGGACTCCTTCACATGCAGGCAGAACTTTTTAAATACAATAAGTACTGCAAATTATTGCATTGATTTCAATTGCACATGACTGTTTCACTCTTCATTCTCTAGAGTGAGTATATAAATAACTCAGACCACTACCATGATGTTTGTAACTCTCTGTTTACTGAACAGCCATTTTTACTTCCTTAACAGTGCCACATACTACAAAGTCTGTGCTACAACATGACTCAAATAATCACATTGTTACAATGACCAGTGAAGTGAGGTAGTGTAGGGTCATTATTTTACATGTTCATTTGTGGGGGCGGCATGGTGGTGCGGTGGTTGGCACTGTTGCCTCACACCTCTGGGACCTGGGTTTGAGTGTTTTGCGAGTGTGCTCTGCGATGGGCTGGCCCCCCGTCTAGGGTTGTTCCCTGCCTCGTGCCCTTTGCTTCCGGGATAGGCTCCGGACCCCCCGCAACCCAGTAGGATGAGCGGGTTGGACAATGGATGGATGGATGTTCATTTGTTTTGTTTTGCCATCAGTCTGACTGTGGCGGGGAAGAAGCTGTTGAAGAACCTTATTCTGTGAGTGATGATGCCGTCCGCTCTGCTGAGTCTCAGATTGTACGTACAGTTTTTGTGTCTGAGCAGAGAGTGAGCCGGATGGAGTGAGTCCCTAATAATTCCCTCTGCTCTTTTCCGACAACGCTGTGCATATATAGAGTCCATGGAAGGGAGTTTTGTCCCTATGATCCTCTCTGCAGTCTTTATGAATCTTTGCAGAGCCTTCCTCTCTGCCTGTGTGGTGTTCCCGTACCAGACAGTGATGCCTGCGGTGAGGATGCTCTCCATCAGTCCTCTGTAGGTCTGAGTGAGAGGGCGATGGTTCAGGCCGGCTTTTCTGAGCAGCCTAATGAAATAATGCTGTATTCCATTTGTCCTCGGAACTTGGATTCCGAGTTGGATTCTGAGTTTTGAAGAATTGACGACATGTGCGCTCCTGTTTCTCGGAGATCCGAGAAATATCTTGGACAGCACAGAGGATCCCGAGTTCAGAATCCAAGATGGCTGCGCCCTTTATCAACAGAAGGGAAAGTTGTAGTTTTATCCTGTTTAATCACTACTTCTCATTTGTGGCTCATTAAATCGGTTGCACACACTATACTGTCCAACTTATCTGTGGACGTGTTGCTACAGAGTTTTATACGTGAAGCACCACGCGTAATGTGTTATCAAGTGATATTGCTAACAATGGCTACCAATTAACTGGCTAGAATTGGATTTCATGATTAGTCGGATTATTTTTCGGATATAAGGTAGTTTGGGCTAATTGTAAGTGAACGAATATAAAAACCATTTAAACTGAGGTACCTTAAAACCTTAAAAGTTGTCCGGCTAAGCAAATAATCTTGGTTTTTCATATGGGTCCATGGTATCGCTACTTCTGTTGCAAATGGAACGCATCCGACTCAGTTTTCCCGAGTTTTTAGTGGATGTGACGTAATCTCGGAATCCGAAAATCGGATCCCGAGGTAAATGGAACGCAGCATAAAGCCTTTGCTGGGCTTTTTTCACTGTGGCTGTGGTGTTAAGAGTCCAGCTCAGGTCTGATGTAACTTGCAGTCCCAGGAATCTGTGGCTATCGGCACTCTCCACCTCAGTCCCTTTGATAAGCAGTGTTGGGGGTAACGCGTTACAAGTAACGTGCGTTACGTAATAATATTACTTTTCTTAAGTAAAGAGTAATATAACGCATTACTTTATAAATTTACACATTAATATTTGAGTTACTTTTTTAAAAAAGTAGCGCGAGTTACTTTTCTATTTTAATTAGGGGTGTAACGATACACCAAAGGCACGATTCGGTTCGGTTCACGGTTTTGGAGCCTCGGTTCGGTTCGGTTCGGTTTCTGTTTGCTGTGGGTTTAGGGTTGATGTCATCTTAACAGCAATGCTAAGGAACAATAGATTCACTTAATAACAAGAACAACTAAACTTTTTCTTTATTAACTTTGCCATCACATTTTTAGTACAGTCAGGATACCTGGGTAAACAACAAAAATTAAATAAATACCTCCAATATAGACTAGTCAGAAAAAAACAATTCTAATACTAACTTTAGAATATAATATTTAGAACAAAATTTAGAACAAAAGCTCATCATTACTAATACAATTTAATCAAATGTGATAAAATAAAGATGTGTTTAAATTGGTTAAATTAGTTAGAGTCAAGTGACGTCAACCTCAACAATGGGCAGCAGGGGGCGTGAGAGTACCGCGGTACGCCACGAGAGTTTCGCGATACGTATCGTGGTTCGTGTATCGCGATATTTCGGTTCGGTTTGTAATATCGTTACACCCCTAATTTTAATTAATTTGCTTAAAAAAATATTTAATTAAAACGAACGTAGTCACGTAGAATTGAATCACGCACTCAGTGCTGCTTTGAAAATGCATTCCGAGCTGACCACGCCCACCCTACGGCAATCATTGCGTCAAGGCGGGTTACGTTTAGATGTTTGAAACATGGCGGCTGGAGATCTGATAAGATCGTTGAATTCATTGGCAGATGAAGTGGAGCGTGAACAGAGAAATAATGTTTTTGAAGCATCATAGAAACACATAGGCTGACTTGAATAATCTGATAAAAATTGAACTAAGGAATTCAGATCACTTGAGTAAATAAGAAATTTCACAGAGGCATGATTGCCGTAGGGTGGGCGTGGTCAGCTCGGAATGCATTTTCAAAGCCACTTAGTAGAAGACTCAAGAGTTTTGGTCTATTGCAATCAGCTTATACATTTGTTTAGGCTATGTCAAGCAATTTTTCAAATTATAGCTGAAAGATTTATGTTTAATTGGGGATGTTGTGTACAATTTCATTGTTCTCTAAAAAGTTATTAAACATTTTAAATGTTTAAGATCTGTCTTGTGCCCTAATATAACTTATTTCACAATGGCAATTATCTAGCCTATATTGCACTCTTTATTATCTCATTGGACAGTGAATTTACTTTATGTAGGCCATAGCCTACCAAAACAAAAATAAAAACTTAACAAACACATTAATTTTCAACTTTCAATAATTAATGTTAAGAGTTTTTTTTTAAATGGCATGCATAGCTCTGAAAGTTCTGAGAATATTATATATAATTATATAATTATATATTATTATTCTATATATGTGTTTTTAAAAGAAAATGAAATAATAATAATAATACTCTTTGTAGTGGCACCCAGGGAGCTGGGGGTTGAGGGTTTTGCTTAAGGACCTGCAGATGTGCTGAGGCTGGGCTTTAACCGGTGACCTTGTGATTACAGGCACACGGCTTAGCCCACTGAGCCACACGCTGCCCCATAAGGTGAGGTTATAAAGGCTGTTGTTGAATGCTGAATTTCTTAGTCAAAAAAACACGTCTAAGGCCTGAACAACATAAAGCTTTAGCCAGGTAAGAAATAAGTAACGCAAAAGTAACTCAAAAGTAATATAACGCATTACTTTCCATAAAAAGTAACTAAGTAATGCAATTAGTTACTTTTTGGGGGGAGTAACTCAGTATTGTAATATATTACATTTAAAAGTAACTTTCCCCAACACTGTTGATAAGAGGCTGTTGAGGGGGAGGATTCTTCCTGAAGTCCAGTATTATTTCCTTGGTGTTGTCTATATTGAGGATGAGGTCATTCTCCTCTCCATAGACAAGAATGTTATTTACCAAGGTCCTGTACCCCGACTCACCCCCCCCTTGATGAGCCCCAGGATGGTGGTGTTGTCAGCGTATTTAATGATGATGGAGTTGTCCTGGGTGGAGACACAGTCATAAGTGTACAGGGTGAAGAGTTTTGGGCTGAGGCAGCACCCCTGTAGGGATCCAGTGCTGACTGTAAGCTCAGGAGACACGTGTCCTCCCATTCTCACCACCTGTGGTCTATCTGTCAGGAAGTCCAGAATCTAATTACAGGTTGGAGTTGGGACGCCGAGGTCTGTCAGCTTCTTGATCAGCTTGCCCGGGCGGATGGTGTTGAAAGCAGAGCTGTAGTCCAGGAAGAGCATCCTGACATACATTCTGCTATACATTCCAGGTGTTGCAGAGTGTGGTGTAGGGCTATTGCTATTGCGTCATCCACTGATCGATTAGGGCAGTAGGCAAACTGGAGCGGGTCGATGGCGTTTGGGACCATGTGGTTGATGTGGGTGAGAACCAGTTTTTCTAAGCACCTCATGACAACTGGTGTGAGTGCCACTGGTCTGAAGTCATTTAGAGTGGATATGTCCGGTCTTTTGGGGACTGGTACGATGGTGGAGGATTTAAAAATACGGGGGACTACTGCCTGGGATAGTGATATGTTGAAGATATCAGCATACACACCAGCTAGTTGTTCCCCACAGGCCTTCAGAACTCTGGGAAAGATTCCATCGGGTCCCACGGCCTTGTGGGGCTTCACTTTTTTCAGTGCTTTCAGGACCTGTGTGTGTGTCACCTGGAGGACAGTGTCAGTGGGGTAACGGGGGGCCTTTGAGGGTGTGTCTGTGTTCAACCTGTCGAATCTGGCGTAAAAGGTGTTAAGGCTGTCTGGAAGGGTGGTGTCTCGGGGGTCTGTGATTGTTGTGGTTCTCCTGTAGTTCATGACAGATTGGATTCCCTGCCACATGCTGCGCGTGTTATGATTGAGGTAGTAGCCTTCAAGTTTTTGTGAGTGAGACCGTTTCACTGGTCTGATGGATTTCTGCAGCTCGTAGCGGGCTCTCTTATACCGTACTTGATCTCCTGACTTGATGGCCTCCCACCGCTTTTTTATTTTCTGTTTTATGTGGGGACATAAAACAGAAAATCAAAAAGGGTTTTTGGTTGGGTAACATGCGCACAGTCCTGGGAGGGGCACATATGGAAGTGCACCAGCTTATGTACTCACTCACAGTCTCTGTGTATTCATGGATGTCATTAGTGGCCTCTTTGAAAGTGCTCCAGTGTGTAGCCTCTAAGCAGCCCTGCAGGCTAGCTTTTGCATCATCAGTCCAGGTGTTAACGGTCCTGACTGTCACTGGCTTTGTCTTGAGCCTTTTGTTGTAAATGGGTTTAAGCCGGATTGCCAGGTGATCAGACTTTCCAAAGTGGGGTTTTGGTTCAGCTGAAAAGGCGTTTCTGATGTTACTGTAACAGTGATCCAGTATTTTATTTCCCCTGGTGGGGAAGGTCACAAACTGGTGCAGTTTAGGCATGTTTTTTCCGGAGATTGCAATGGTTAAAATCTCCCAGGATAATAAAAGCAGCATCAGGATACGTATTTTCATGCTGGTTGATCATATCGTGTAGCTCCTTCAGTGCAGCCTCCTCCTTAGCGGAGGGAGGGATATACACAACACTCACAATGATACATTGCAGTTCTCATTGCAGTTTTCTATGACTATATCTAATTGCGCTCCCATTCCTCAAAATGTCCAGGGGAGAAGACAAGCTGAGCCAGGCCACTGGCATCTTCCATTGCTATAGGTTGTTGGTTCAAATGAGCAGTGTGCTCAGAGGCCATTGGATGACTCTGCCTACGACAGGTAGGTGCCCAATCGGCATCAGACGCTGCTGTACAGCTGGTGTAGAGAGAGACATCCAGCCAGGATGAGCCTATTTGCATTCTCAGAACCTCTAAGACAGAGACCACTAAAGTGACACAATAACACTAATAGTTCGCAGGATGCAACTCAAAGGATCCATCCCATAGATGCAGTTTCATCAGGCATTACAGCATCCAGCATAAGTGATGGAAGTTGCTACCTAAAAGGCTTGATGGATTCAACTGGGACTAAAATGCCATTTCACTGAAACTTAGTCCCTCCAGTAACTTATCAGACGATCCTCTGCAGAATCAAGCTTGTAGTATAATTTTTACCAACCTTTAACTGTGCGTTTCTAAACCCAATCCTTGGGGACCCCGAAACGGGACACATTTTTGTTCTCTCTCAGGTCTGCTGGGATCTAGAAGGGTTCAAAATTTGGACTGTCTGGAAGTTCTCAAGGACTGGGTTGAAAAACAAGAGTTGAAGCAAACCATAGCTTGTAAAAAAAATCATGCTGAAAAGTATTTCAAATATTTACAGGGTTAGAATTCTTGTGCAGAATTCTTTTTGTAAAGGTTCTAATCTGTCTGAGTGTCTCTGAGTGCAGAGTGGCAGTGACCTGGTAGTTCAGGCAGTGAGTCAGTCGTGTCGTTTAAGTCCACTCTCATCCTACCTGCTTCCTCCACCGCCAAACGCATTTCTGTGGAGCTTGTGGTGCCTGAATGGTCAGTATCCTTCTGACAGTAGATTGCCTGAAACACCACAATTGTAATACCACATGTCAGGGTGCGTTACATTACATTAAAGTTTGCATAACATTACGATGACAGCCACAGTGCAGTTAGCTCCAATAAAGTATCATGAGCCTTGTAAGCAACAAACTGAATTGTCACATTTTGCGATGGGTTGGCGCCCCCTCCTGGGTTATTCCCTGCATTACACCTGTAGCTTTTGGGATAGGCTCCAAACCCCCACAGCCCTGAATATGACAAGCAAGTACAGAAAATAGATGTATGGATAATTGCAGCACAAACCATGTATTTTTCAATTTTGCTCCACAAAATCTTGAATTCCAAAAAGCCCAGCTTTCCACTTCCATCTTTCTGTAAAAATGTCTAAGGAACATCAACACGAGTGCAGTTCACTGGAGAGGCCTATCATCACCATATTCAGCATACACAATAAGGACGTCACCACTGTCACATGACTTATGGCTATATGAACATAAGAAAGGGACCCTGGTAATATCCAGTTTACAGACCACACTTGAGGGATCTAGAGGCCATAATTTTATTATAGTTATACATAATACAGTATAGGGATGTATGAGGATGGTATTAAGAGAGGCTGCTTATGGTATCAGAAGGGCGAAATGCCACAACAACCCCGGGTTTAATCAATATTAATTTTCCTGAGATACTAAAAAGAACTGTGCTGTGAAAAACAACATAACCTCTAGTGACGTCCCCCATCTTTTAAATTGCCGACAAGAGTTAGATACTGCAGCAATATGTTGGAAAAAAGAAAAGGATACATCCAAAAGATTGACCATGTTGCGGCACGTTTCAAGGCTAAACCCGTCTGTCCGGACTTCCTTCCCTAGAGTAGATATATGCTTAATGTTAGGAGGAAACAAAAATATCAGTCACTGTACACATGTAGTCTATGGCCACAATAGTTTTTGGAATGTTCTTGGTAATCCGATGCAATATTGCTATTACTAAACAAGAGCATTTGACTGTTCATAGTTCACACTCCTGAAGACTATCTGTTCTAAGAAAAGGGATTTAAAGTGGGAGAGTCACATGAATGTGGCACTTTGAGGAATACAGACGGCTACTCACGATTGGACACCACTCTATTCAAAATTCTCCTTAGTTCAAAGGCAGAGATTTCACAGTCCTGTAACATAAGGGAACAGCATGAATATTAAAGTCCTTATGAACAAAATTACTACATTAAGCTCCTCAAGCTTAAGCTACTAGATTCATTGAAATACTGATATAATCCATCTTAAACTATCACAAAAGGTCCTTATTTTAGCATCTCTCAACATTTTTTCCGAATATATGACTATTAAAATTAAGGTACTCACAGATCCAGCCAATTTCCCAAATAGATTTTTAAATGTACTATCAATCTTCTCTTCAGTTATTTCCATCTGTAACCACAATGAAGGAAGTCACATTGAACTCACTGAAGGCTGTTGGTAATTACAGGACTCCACTGAGAAGACAGACATGATGTAGTTCTGTATGCTCTATAAAAGTAATTTGTATAAACAGTGGTGGTTTTAGCTTGTATAGCTCCCTGGGCAACCCCCCTTCGCCCCCCCATGCCAAAAAAAAAAAACACCTGTAATTTTTATGAAGATATTTGGAACGATACAGATAAATCATTTTAAAGTTAAATCTAATTTCACCAGTTGCATCAGTACTGTACAAAGAGGTGCTATTTGATAGATTTGCCCAACCACCCTACCTCAGGCTTTCGATGGGGTGACTTAAGGTCAGCCCAGCCTGGCCCCCTCCCCGTCTGGTACTTCCGAGTGGTGGCCTGCCCGGCTCTCAGACTAGAACTAGGGCACCCACTCCGACAAGGTTTACTAACCCATACGGTGACATGATGTCATTGATGTGTGCAAATAAGCAATAGAAAACCGATCGCACAAATGTCACAACCAATTCCTTTTTTGTGTGGCTGCCTATGGCACCCACATTTAAATCCAGTGGCTATAAAAGTACTACAAAGAATAATCAGAAAACAGCAGAACTGAAAATACTTTTGCAACATGAGCTGCAAGCACGTTGTCTTTACCTCTCCCACGTTTGACTCAACGGGATTGTCCATTTCTCTGAAACAGAAAGGGCACACAGGCTCTTAAAGGAGCCCAGCACTTCATCTGCCGGTTGATCACACCCCTTTCTTTCCTTATCGTCCTTCAAAACTGATGATGCAAAGACTCAAATATGACTTATAGACAAAGGTTCAAAAGCTATAGCTATTGTGTCCAGAACATGTTACGGTTTGCACTGGTGTAACAAGCTGCTCTCTGAAAATAATAATTCTTAGCGTATAACATCTACTTCACGTAGCTCAGTGACAATACAGTTAGATTCTTTCCTGTGTCTTTAAAAGTCTATCTTTGAACAGGGTCCCTTACTGAAACTCAGTCTGCTTCTCGGAGAAGATGCGCAGGCAGAAGTCCCCGTTCAGGTGGGGCTCGAAGGTGGAGGGTACAATAAGATACTCCCCAGGGGGCAGACAGAAGCGACTGCACACCTCCCGCAGATTGATGAAAGTTTCAGAGCGAGCCTTGGACTCATGCTGCATGAAGAAGTTCCGGTTCAGGGGCACTTTCCTTTGGCCCACAAACTGGAAAGGGGAACCAGAGTGTGTCAGAAAGGACATGTCTTTACACCCACATTAGACTATAACTTGCCTAGAGAGACCAGGACTGGTATGCATAAAACTTCTCAGAGTAAAATTTCACTCTTAAATGCGTCACAATTCTAAGAGTGATGCGATTTTGCTCCTACTCCCAGACTTAAGAATAAGTGGCATGCATAAACATTCTTAAGTGTTAAGACTTGGTCTCAGCTCCTAAATTTTTTAAGAGAGCTGGAGAGGACTCCTAAGCCAGTTAGGAGTTGAATGACGGCAGCTGCACTACGCGCACCCAGACAGAGACCGCGCACTTTCCGTCGAAGAAAGGACGTCCGGTAGACGTACGACAATAATGAATTGATAAAAAGGTACAGGCTTAATCATGAGGGCATTCTTTTTGTTACCAACCTAATTAGGAACCAGATACAATCTCCTACGTCACCTAAAATGCACCTACATTTGAACTGAAGGTGATAATGATGCTATGTTTTTGGCAACTGGAAAAATATAATAATAATTATTATTATTATCATCATCATCTATTATAGCGAGGGTCATAAGAGCAATTTAAGTAATGACACAAACCTGTAGCAATATAAGTAATGACACCTTTATAAACTGTGATTTCCTTTCGCGAGGTCGATAAAACATTATATCACCTTTTTTTCACATTCCTCTGTTGAACGCCTTGTCCTAGGTGATGCAGCATTTACGGAGCTTGCAATAGCCTCCTAAGCTTTTTTGTCTGTGCTTGTAACAGCTGGGCCAAACTTTCCTAGCACTACCTCCTTCCATTAAAGCACCAACTGTGCAAAAAGAACCATTTTGTTTGTCGTCCAGTTTGGTTTTCTTTTAGAATCCAATGTCTTGCTATGAGTTTTGCGTTTGACACATAATTTATACAACATGTGCATCTTTTAGTGGAAATTGATTGGTGATGTGCTAGGTAGATTTTCGTACAACCAATTAAAGGTATGATCACAGAAAGGTATGTTGTATAAAGCTCTACATTAACGGTTTAATGTCACTAATAGGAATTGGGCTTAGACTTTGCTAAAAGTTACTTTTACCAGCTTTATACAATGCTCTTAGGTCCTACTTTTTGCTAAGATTTTTTTTTCAAGTGTACGACCATTCTCCATTCACCAATATTTTCTTAAGAATTCTCTTAAATATGTTCCTACAAAATTTGTTAAGAACAACCTATGTCGGATTCATGATGTGTTCTTAAGTAGCAGAATTGTTTGCACCTTTGTTCTTAAGAATGGTGAATCCCACGTCTTCGTAACTGAAAGCGCGTGCCACTTTTAGCCATAGTTTTGTTCGGTTATAACAGACATGCAGCTCCGCCGACAAGGCCCATGGCATGCCAGTGATATCCAGCGCAGATACGGAGTCGGGATTATTAATAGTCACGCATATGATCAGGTAAAGTTGGATTACTACATGTACAATATAATAATCTATACCACAAGTGTGTCTGCTGGGGTGTGGCATGAGTAAATGGTGTCCTGTAGTTGTGTTCTGGGCATACAGCAACTCTGGATATAATGGACTTTGGATATAATGGACTGTTTTGCCAGGTCCCCAGAAATCCGTTATGACTGGATTATACTGTACAGGAGGTAAATGCAAATAGACACGTTATTTAGTAGCGTAAAAAGTGGATATAAAGCCCCCAAGAAAGCTGACGCATGGAAAGATATCACCTTCTCTGTGAACGCTGTGTGCCAAATACATCTAAATAACTTGCGTTCCCTTCTCAGAGCACGATTGGCAAGCTCTTCAAGAAGTAACAGAAATGCCATTTTGATGGCAAGGCCAATGCGCAGAAACAGACCTATTTAAAATTTGCATGATCGCGGTTACTACCATGAAAATAATTTTTACACTTTAAAATTATTTTTTACATTTTACTTTTATAAATTATTCAAATACTATCATTTTATCAACTGTAGAATGAACAAAACTGCTATAACCGATTATTTTGAACAAACTATCATTACTGAAATGTGCGTACGAATGGTCTTGAGTGTGCGTAGATTCTGTTCTTAGCTAAGAACAAATTCAGATAAGAAAACATTGGTGAATGTCAGAATCCTTGTAAAAAAAAGTGCGTACGTGGGGTTTAAGAACAAATTTGTTCGTAAGAACGGTTGGTGAATGAGGCCCATTATTAGGAAGTTTTATGCATACCGGCCCAGATCATCCATGTTAGGGAGGTAAATTAAAAGGACCTGGGTTTCATTTAAGCACTGAGATCTTGCTGTTTGCTGATTTTTCAGTCTCCTGATTCACATCTCTCTATTGTTAATGTGAAAGAGCTGGATAAGTCTTTCAATCAAGGAAACCAGTCAAAGCACTAAAGTACAGGTATTTTATGGGACCTACTGAAATAAAGGTAATAAAGCTGTTTGCCATAAAGGAAATAAAGGTAGCTGATTATGAGAAAGACCTTGGTGTGTATGTTGATGCTTCCATGTCTCATTCTCGCCAGTGCGGGGAAGCAATAAAAAAGGCCAATAGGATGTTGGGGTATATCTCCAGGTGTGTGGAGTTTAAGTCAAGGGAGGTAATGCTAAGATTATACAATTCCTTGGTGAGACCTCACCTAGAATATTGTGTGCAGGTTTGGTCACCATATCTTAAAAAGGACATTGCGGCCTTAGAAGGGTGCAGCGTAGGGCCACAAGAATGATTCCGGGTCTTAGAGGAATGTCAAACGAGGAAAGGTTAGTTGAGCTAAATCTGTTCATCCTCAGGCAAAGGAGACTGAGGGGGGACATGATCCAGGTCTATAAGATTCTAACAGGTTTGGATGCTGTTCAACCGAATAGTTACTTCAGCATTAGTTCAAATACAAGAACTCGTGGCCATAGGTGGAAATTAGTGGGAGAACATTTCAAACTGGATTTAAGGAAGCACTTCTTTACACAGCGTGTAGTCAGAGTATGGAATAGTCTTCCTGACAACGTACTGCAAGCTGAATCCTTGGGTTCATTTAAATCAGAGCTAGATAAGATTTTAACAACTCTGAGCTATTAGTTAAGTTCTCCCCAAGCGAGCTCGATGGGCCGAATGGCCTCCTCTCGTTTGTATAGTTCTTATGTTCTTAACTGAACTATTTAGCCAAGGACAGGAGTCTTTCAGTTTTAAAGTAGTTTGTAAAACCTGAAATAGCTCAAAGTGTCCACCCTGAAATGGATTATCAAGTCACCCTAAACCTACCCTGCAATACTGATTATCATAAATGTTTAATGATTTCTTTCCAGATATCGGTAAGGATACTAATTGCTTTAATCCAGGTAATTAACAAATTGCCTTCCCTGTTCTGGTGCAACAAGCTTCCCAAATCTTTAGTATTTCTGGTTTTAGGGGTGGCCAATCTTATCCAAAAGGCCGGTGTGTGTGCAAGTTTTCACTGCAACTCCCTAATTATATTACTAATTAGAGGATTGATTGGCTGAAAATTCCTCACACCTGGGTGTGAACAGCTGACCTAAAGGTTATTCCAAAAACCTGCATACACTGTGGATAAGACATGCGCTTTATCGATAAGATTGGCCACCCCTGCAATATTTGATCTCTGCTAATTTCTGATCACATGGGGCAGTGATGGATTATGAGACAGTCAAAATTAATGAAGACACCCAGACATTAACAACACAAACACAAAGTTCTGTACATAACCATAATTCCACTCCTTCTGACACATACCTCCAGAGGGACCTGTAGATGACAGAAAACAAGGAAGCATGTTGAGTTCAACACCATCACTAAAAATTTTGGGAAGGTAACACTACATCAGTGTTTCTCAACCCAGTCCTCAGCGAACCCCAGCCAGTCCACGTTTTTGCTTCCTCTCAGCTCCCAGCGAGCCTGTACCAGCTATTCGGTGTTCCTGATTGGCTGGGAGCTGGGAGGGAGCAAAAACGTGGACTGGCTGGGGTTTGCTGAGGACTGGGTTGAGAAACACTGCACTACATGATATAGAAGATTCAGCCACACCTTTTAACTGTAATAAAGAGACCAGCCCTCTGACCTGCTCTATCTTCACCTGTGATCCGTTGGCTGGTCTCTTGATTATCTTTGATACTCCAATGTGCTCTTGTCTTTCATTTGAATGACTCTCCTTTTAGGTTTTTGCTACATTGTACAGCTTTTGCTCCAGCTTGCACTTGTTACTGGTTGTTCACTGGAAGGTCAGTCTAGCTAGTTGGCTCCTTGACAGCTCTATGCTTATAGTGTGCTGTCTGGCTCACTTGCATGTCACTTTAAACAAAAGCATTTGCTAACTAAATAAACAAACTTTTTTATGTTGTCTTTTGGTCCAAACCTCCTGGCATCAGCCACATAACTGGTAACCCTGTGTCTGTCTCCAAAGGCACTAACAGTACTTAAAACACAGCCATAAACCTACAACACATCTACTAGAAAACATGCCTGTTGGCTTCATGGGAACCCCTCCTTGCTCACCTCGTAGATGGCGAAGCCGATGGTGAGCGTGTCCTCCCCCATCCTTCTCAGGCGGCGTCGGTTCTTCTGCATCAGGCCCACCACAAAGCTGCAGCCGACCTCCTCATCGTCAGGGTCATCGTCCTCTTCTTCCAGCTTAATCTTAAACTGTGGGTTTGTCCAGAAGGTGTCTGCAAAGAAGAGTAATGGTGCATTTTTTCTAAATACTTCTGGGATGTCAAGGTTCGTCCAAACAAGCAAAAAAAAATTGGCAAACAGCTTTTGCTCTTATGCAAGAATGCTGTAGGGTATGGATATGCTGGCAAATTTGGGGGGGTTGAATACATTCAATTATCAATTTTATTCAGCGGGAGGCCCCAAGGTCACATTTTGTCTGGGGTTCCAGAATTTCCAGCTACACCCCGGCTCCTGTGAATAAATGCCAACCTTCCACAAACACTGTCATCATTTTAAAGTGCTTTTGCTTGGTTAATGACATAGAATCATTGAGTCTGGTTTTTGGGTTGGGTTGGGTTGGTACTTGGATAATTTCTGCACCCCCCAGCGGTGGAGCCTCTCCGCCAGGTCCCGTCAAATTTGGACAGGCTCCATTTCTTGGTGTCCTCCTCAGAAAGAGCATCAGGGGTGAGGTTGCAGATCTCTACCCGGGAGAAGTGTTGCAGGAAGTCGGAGAAGGACATCCTGAAGGGTAAACGGGAAAAAAACAAAAAGTAGATCCCAGTAGGGTGAGAGAAACAGAGAGGCTAGGTAATCACTTATCTGCGCTAACTGACTATTCCCCTTTTAGAACATTTTACCTTAAATTCTAATCTTAAATGATGACACAAATTGCACTGTCAGAAAAAAAATACCAGTAAGGGAACAATTACTCATCACTGTGGCTGTACATTCAAGCCAATTGTACCCTAGATATAGGTAAATCTTCCTTCTAAGGTACAAAAATGGACAATGAACATTTTTGTACCATTGGGGGTACATTAATGTAGTTTGTACCTTGGGGAACAAAACAGTACCAGGACAGTACTCTATGTCCCAGAAGAGGGGACGAACAAGGATTCGATTTACCAGAACTCTCCATCCTCAGATCGGTTGGTCAACCTCACTCTGTCCTCATCGCTGATTTGACTCCACTGAGCGGAGCTGTAAGAAAAAAGATCAACTGTGAACATAAACAGCCACCAAGCTAAACAAAATGAACCTCCCTATTCTACTGTGCATAAAAAGCAAATAAATGCTTACATTTCAGTTTCTGAAAAGTAGAAAATAGAATGAGTGGACAGTTCATGATTTAATGTAACCTGAGTGGTTCTTAATATAGTGATGCCATCAATCCATGTTTAACACAGCAACTCAGCTTAAGCATTAAGCCAACAGGTGTGCCGCTCTTGCTGTTTAAGACTCATCCCTTTCCTGGAAATTTGCCAAATATCGTCAGCGGCAATGACATCCCATCCCTCTGGCAAGCAGTGTCAAACAGCAGGGCTGTACCTGTCGTTCCAGTCGCCTGTCCACTCAACCTGTCCCCAGGGGTTCCTGATACGGATCAGCTTCGCCGTAGCTCTTTGGTAGCTCACCTTTACAGTGACAGCACACAGCAACCTGAGCTCCTCTTCCTCAGTGATACCACACCCAGGCGTGAAACAGGCAGCTCACCTCCTCTGCGCCGGTCACAGAGTACGCATGGCCCTTCACCAGCTTTTGGGTCGTGATGGCCTCCGAATCCGCTGAGCTTGTGATCTGAACCAAGAGCCCATTTCCTGCGATTATCCTTCTCAGTTCTTAAACAGGTAATTTCACTGTGTTTCCACTATAAGTGTTACATCATTACTTCATTCTCATAACGCCACCCAACTGCACCTCTACAAACAACTCAGACATAAAACCTAATTGATTCTGTTGAACTGAGGCCTGCGTATATTAGTGTACATCACTACCCACAAGCCTCTACTCCACATTAGATGACAACAAAAATCTTGACAACAGAAATCTAAGGATGTTCATTAAATAGCTAATCTAGCTGCTAGAATGGATTATGAGAATATCATTTAATCACTGAAAAATGTTCACCATACCCAAGACCATACACACTGTGTTTACTATATATTAAAAAATATATTAAAGCACCGTTTCCCAACCCGGTCCTCTGGGACCCCCAGAGTCCCTTAGAATAGGTGCAACGGAGGGCTACGAGAATGATTCCTGGTCTTAGAGGAATGTCTTATGAGGAGAGGTTAGCTGAGTTGAATCTGTTTAGCCTTGAGCAAAGGAGACTAAGGGGGACATGATCCAGGTCTATAAGATTCTAACGGGTCTGGATGCTGTTCAGCCAAATGACTATTTCAATATTAGTTTAAATACTAGAACTCGTGGCCATAAGTGGAAATTAGCGGGAGAACATTTTAAAACAAATCTGAGGAAGCACTTTTTTACACAGCGCATAGTTAGAGTATGGAATAGTCTTCCTGCTAGTGTAGTGGAAGCTAAAACCCTGAGTTCCTTTAAATCAGAGCTAGATAAGATTTTAACAACTGTGAGCTATTAGTTAAGTTCTCCCCAAACGAGCTTGATGGGCCGAATGGTCCCCTCTCGTTTGTAAATTTCTTATGTTCTTATTTCTTATGAGTCCACGTAGGGCAGGGGTGGCAAATCTTATCCGCAAAGGGCCGTTGGCTCTTCAGCCAATCAATCCTCTAATTAGTAATCTAATTACAGAGTTGCAGCGAAAACCCGCATACACACCGGCCCTTTGCGGATAAGATTGGCCACCCCTGACGTAGGGAGCTGGGAGGGAACAAGAATGGGCACCGTCTGGTGGTCCCCAGTTGAGAAACAGTGCATTAAAGGAGAAAGAGAACCTGAACTGCTGATGGATAGTGACTGGCTAACTAGACAGAGGCTGTGTCAGTGTGCGGATGTGTTGACGCACGTCGATGGAGCAGCCCAGGAGGGACCCCCTGCGCAGGGCTTTCTGGATAATTTTGAAGAGGTTGGGGTTTGGCTTCATTAGCTCGTGCATTTCAGTGACGCCCCCAGTGAAGTCCTCAAATCCTTCCGTCGTGCTCCCCCCTGACAGAGCCTCATAACTGCCGTTCAGCCTACAGCAAGCAGGTGACATTGCTCAGTGTAAGTAAATGTGGGTAAGGATACGAACGCATGAGGCTGGATGATGGCGATGTGACTTTCTCTAATTACAGCTTTTCAGGTAGGTATAGTTTTTAATACAGTTTTACAGTTACGGTATTTTTTAAATAAGTTTAAGCTGCATACAGCTGAAAAGCAGGAAACAGGAAAAACAGATGAGTAGACAGTTTACATACTATCGGCAGGCATGGCTCACTCACTTGGCGTAGGCCTTCTCCAGCAGGGCGCTCCAGAACTCAGATCCTTCTACTGAGTGGACAAACAGCAGCTCCCCGTATCTGGTGGGAAGCCGGTCATCGATCACCATGTCCACCCACTCGCCAAACTGCCAGAACTGTGGCAACACAATGGTTAATATTTTTGGATAATATACATTTTAAAAACTCATAACCGACACCCCACCCAGGGCAGAGCCAAACCTTATGGCCTTTGCTGCCAGGGTTATTCTCCAGACACCCCCATGACCTCTCCTGGCAGGGGCAAATTAATGCATAGCCTATCCTGGACTATAGCCCCTGTCCCCCTCACCAACTTGGCTAGTTTTACTGCCAACACCCTGCACGCTGATTAGCGGATTACTGATGTAACATTGCTTGTTATTCTCTCTTGTTTCTCTTTCAGCTCCATAACAGCTTCATTGGCCCACTTGGGACTACACTTTCTAGCCAGTAGCCTCCAGGTTATTTTAGTTAGAGACCCCTGGGTTAGTTAAATCGGCTGATGTCAGCCTTGGGCATCCAGGTAAGTTAATCTGCCCCTGCGTGCTGGGTTTGTGGTTACCACATGGATGGATGAATGAAAAAACGTCGTCACAGATGAAGTCATTCAAGGTGACTTTTTATACTTATGACAGAATTTTTCTGAAGAACAGTGTTTCCCAAATGCAGAAAAGTTGGATTCTCAGACTAGTCCTTAATTTACCTGGAAGTGGAAGATTCCAGCATAGTTCTCCTGGAAGCTCTGGTCATGTGGAACAACGCGAGCCAGCACTTGCTCATTCAGAGTCAAAGAGGCGATAGCGGCGAGAAGCCAGCAGTCCCCTGAGAAAAGCCAGTGTCAATGCTGTACTCCAGTTATTAAAGGAAACACATAGATTTATGTTGTTTTATTCTGTTTATGTGTGTTTGTGTATGTATGTCTGTCCTTGTGTTTGTCTGTCTGTCTGTGTTTGTCTGTCTGTGTGTGTCTGTGTCTGTTTGTGTGTGTGTGTGTGTGTGTGTGTGTGTGTGTGTCTGCCTGACTGTCTGGTCACCCTCACATTAACCAGCATGTCAGAGTAAACCTAAGAGCCACAGCCACCAAATGGAGAAATAACGGATGGATGAATGGGTGAATGAGTAGATGGATGAATGTATACATTACTGAATGGATTATCTGTACTCCCACCCATTTTTAGACTGATTATAAGGGTTAAAATAATAATACATATTAGAATATAAACCATAAAGGCTGGAAGGAAGGTGGAAGCTTTGCTTAAATCCTGGATCTACTGAGTTTGGAAAGACTTTTTATGTTAGACCATGGGAGGGAGACTAACAGCACATCTGGGGTGGTTGCGTCGGCCCATTAAAAACAAGTATTAGTGATTCCCTGAGTCTTCTGCTCAGCTTCCATCAGCAGTTTTCTGCTCCAATATGATCCATTAGCAAAGGGACACATCCCTTCTGCTCACTCTGCCCCAGCCTCTCGAACCGGAACATTTATTTACAGCAACAGCTTTCTAAGGGTGGCTCTGTGGGCACCACTACTGCCAGGGCTTAAGAGGTGCCATAATTCATAGAGAGGGGCCAACCTTATTGTTAGCCAGTTATACATTTTGAATCTGTGAGTGACAAAGGAGAGGGCACTCTGGGGGCCAATCATCATTCTGCAGACACAGATCTCATTGTGCTTCACCCCGATGGTTCCAAAGATCTTCAACCTAGGATTAAAGCTATTTCAACTAAGTAATGATATTAATTAAGCAGCTCTCAACCTGAAGTCTTACCACAGCAGTAATGTTGAACAATTCAGAGCTGATCAGCGTATTAGCTTCCCAGTGTTTATCTGTGATGACCTGAGTCCAGGGGGTACAACACTTTATAAATGCAGAGCTTATCTGACACTGGGAGAACACGATGATCAGCCTAACATACAGTACATCAGGCTCCTTTTCAGTGCCAGTAATGCAGAACACTGAACTTATGCTGCCTAAAACCTGTGTTTACAGTCCTGAGGCTCGGACACTGCAGCCCTTGTACTGGAGTTTAGTAGTTAGAAAATACTTCCTGGTGGGGAATCTGATCCAAGTGCAGCCACAAGACTGCAATTCAGCACGACCAACCCAGAACGGGAGCCGCACACCCTTTCTCTCCAGCACTGCATTTTAAAAACATTTATTATGAGCCACAGCCCATTTCATAAACAAGAGAAGGGGCATCATTTAACTGCAGGAGTGAAGTTTAGCTCAGCAAAGACGAAGAAGTGAGCGAATAGCAGTGATGACCAACCCAGCTCGCCCTGGCAGATATCTGTCCTGATGGCACCGCCAACGATGAACTGTGGACTGGGACATAATTCCTTACAAAGAAAAAAGGCAATAAAATATGTATAAGCATAATTGTCAATTAGTCTTTTTTGGATTTCTTTTCACATTTATACATATAAAGGTGTCCTGAGAAGGTTCAGTAAAAGAAACATTTTTTTCACCGATTGGATTTGATTTATTACAAAACGTAGACGTCTGTAATGAGGCTATTCCCTGTGCAACCAGAAAACTAGCTGTAACTTTACTTTCTTAGTGTGGCACAATATTGTGTTGTTCAGGTTTGCAATCCTAAAAATAGCGCTAAGCATGAGTAACACGCAATATAAAAATTTAATGGTAGGTAATTATTTTTATATATGAAGTTACCTTTGAGTATCTTAACATATCCAAGCAAGAAGGGAGAATATAAATGAATATGATGTAATTTAGAAGATGCATTTTCGCCTGGTGTTTTCCTATTCCTAAATCATCCGATTTAACTCTCTGGGATACTGTGTTTGACAACCAAACCATCGAATCGTGTATCTCAAACATTTTATTTGTGTATACATGAAATTTACATGACCAATTCAAGCCATATCTTGATGTTGAATTATTTAAAACATATACGCAAGAATATATTTGAGTAGTTCACAGGTAAGTCTGTACTGCTAAATAATAGTAATAGGTACTGTAATAATAATATACCTTAGGACGTTTCCAGGTGATGCCACGCACCTTCGCGGATTTCGGTCCCAGTTCTTTGTAGCCGAGGGATGCCGGATCCGCCGGGAAAGCATCATCCTCGAACAGCTTTCCACTCTTCAGGCACTCTTGTCTGAGCGCCTTGAAATCTTGCTCCAGGAATTTCACCGCTTTTTCATGGCTGCCGATGCCCTGAGCTCGGTCACGGTTATGCTGCAACTTAGCCGCGATTCCGGAACTTAGCATTTTTGTGAGTTCTGTTCACGACCCTGGGATGCGTATCCTTTGTTGTAAAAAGTAACACGATGAATGACGCTGAAATGAACTGTGTAAGGTATATGGGTGTGTCTCACTGCCTTTGATTAGTGTGTGTGTGTGTGTGTGTGTTTGTTTGTGCGTGTGAGCGCACATACATCACAGAGTGACAAAAACCTGTAACTTTTTACTTTGTGGGGACTATTTTTTTTTGGTCCCCAAAAAGGTAACCTCAATTTTGTAAAAAATCTGTTAATGCAATCAAAAAATAAAATAGCCAAAATTCTTGTATTTTTTTTCTGCCATGTCCGGAAGCCAACGGGCTTAAGGGCAGGTGTCAGGAAAACAAAAAGGGGCTTTATTGAATAGTACAAAAGCAGGGAAATAAAACAAGATAACGAGGGGTCGAAACAGGAAGGCTTGGCACAGGGAAGGACACAGGCAACAGGAGAAGGGACATTAATGACCAGACTGGGGCTGACGAGACAAACAAGTATTTAAATACAAGGACTAACGAGGGGTAACAAGCATCAAGCATGGTTCCTCAGGACCACATTAGGGAGGAGATAAGAGGGTCAGGCATGCAGGACATGATGGTTTGGTTACTTATAGTTAAGGTTAGGGGTTAGGATTCTTATGGGTTATGTGTGTGTGTGTGTGTGTTTAATCACGAATAAAATCATAAATTATAGGTTTTGGGGCAAATATATTTTTTCATACTTATTGTATATTGCATATAAGTTCACATTAGCCCATAAAGTTGTTTAAGTATATGGTAATGAACAGTGTGCACATGCCAATATGCATGTGAGAATGTGCAGTGAAAGACATTCAATGATCAGCATAATACAGTTTAAATTTTATAAAGGAAAGAGAGGTAAGTAGCACATTCTGATACAACACATTGCTACGCCCACCACCTCAGGGACGAGAGCCTGAGTGCAGCAGGTGACATCTCAGCATCACACTAGCGCAAATGGATTGAAGCAGCATGAAGTTTTTCCTGGTGGCTGGAGTGCCCAGCCTACCACCAACCCCAAATTTTCCCTGAAAGTTGGAGGACCTGCTTACAGGGCTGGATGTAGATTAACGTCATACCCAGGATGAAGCAACTACAGGTTAAGGGCCTTGCTCAGGAGCCCAACGGAGTAGAATCACTCCTGGCATTCATGGGATTCAAACGGGCTACTTTCCGATTGCTGGCACAGATCCCTAGCTTCAGGGCCACCACTCGACCAAATATCAGATCTGTAAATAGGACTGAAATATTCTGGCTTTTAGATACCTTTGGGTTACAAACTGGAATGAATATAAGTGGGAAGTAACTTCAGTAAGGACTCTTGCCTTTTCCACAGCTGCTGACAATGTTAGACCTGAATTTTTTATATGTACTGTATGTGATATAAGATTTATTTCTTTTCCACATTGTCAGCTCTTATAGTGTGGGATTTTTTTTCCATTCACATAGAACCTGATTAAATTACACGACAGGATGAACAAGTTGTGAAGTCAGGCCATATACAGATGAGCTTTGATGAGCCAAGGGGTACTTCCTCCTGTGAGTAAAGTGATTGTTCAGCGGTTGGCTCCTAGTGTTGGGAGTCAAAACATAATAGTGGACTTTATCCAGACTATTGTAACGTGAAACATGTAGACAGCAGGCTAATGTAGTCATGTAGTCAGCCAAATGCGTAAGTAGTTATAATGAGAAAGATGTTTAAGGTGCCTGCAATGTAAACTTCAAATATTAATATTGATGTAATTAAGGTTTCTGGAACTAGAGAAAAACATAAGTGTGAGATTTAGAAGTTTCTTTTGAACTGAATTAATGTCAATTTGAAGGCTCTGAATAGCAATCATTGCAATAGCAATGGAATCAACAGAGCAGTACAGAAATGTGTGACAAGCATATTAATATTACAGTCACTTAACATCAAGGCAACATCATGTATGTAAATAGAAAACAAGATGAGTCCTAGAATGGATTCTTGAGGGATACCTTGAGTTATTCTTAAGAACAAATTTCCTAAATTCATAAGCTGATATCTGTAAAATAGCAACCATTTACATGCAGAGGCATCAAAACTAATATTCAGCAGCGAGAGACTGTGGCAATGGCCTTTGATAAGTCAATGAAAAGGACTATGCAATGTTTTATATTATCAAAGGCAGAAATGATACTGTATACAGCCAGGGAGGTGACAGACCATGAATACCCTAACAGCAGACTGGTAATGAACAGGAAAGGAATGTTGTGCTCTACATTTACTCCAAGACTTTGACCAAGCTTGCTGATTTAGAAATAAGATGCTAGCTTAGAATCACCATCTTCAGTACCAATCAATTAATAGTTTTTGCACACCACAGGTTTTGCACAACACTGCAGTTTATTTTATAAACAGCAGATTTTTTATTCTTGTTATGCAACTATAAATGAAAATATAAGTCAAATAATACAAGTTTCTTTTATAACAGGAAAAGGGTATGTAACAGTACATGTCTGACATCCAATTAACCGTTTGCATAATAATGGAGTAGTCTAATTCTAGGCTGCCCTTTAACTTTAAATGCATTAGTTTACTGTTTCACCCCATGAAACAGAGCAGTATTTAATGTCTTGAATGCCTTGACTAATAGTGTGTATGCAGGGATGACACATGAACCATTTTGCTTGAGACAAGAGTCAGGTTAGAGTGGATCTAGAGTATCGTTTGAGAACTGGTTATGCAAGAAATGTCCTGATTATGTCTCTATAAAATTCAAATATGAATCTCAAATAAAGCAGAACCAATGAAACTGTTATTGTCCTAAATATCACCATACATTGTTTCCTGTGGCTGCTCTACCTGCCACCGGCAAAAGTCATGTATTGTTTTTATGTTCAATTAACCAGTGCAATACATTAATGCCCTATGTTGGGAGGGGCACAACAAGCCCAAACTGAATAATCAGATATTCCCAAGATAACATCAAACATACATACAGAATCATACTCACACATCATTCCATATAACTCGAATTTCAGGAAGCATAATTGAATTTTGTGAAACTCTGTTCAGTTCCAGGTTTTGTAAGTTTTCTTAGCATGCACCTCAGGTATATATTTCCATTCCTCAATTTAATTGTTCAAGGTACCTTTCAGGTAGAAGAATGGTTTATGCAAAGTACATTTAATGAAACAAGCGTTTGAAGGAATTTAGGAATGATGAATGAGCAGTATAACTGTAGAACCTGTCCATGATGCCAATTTGACTATATTATTTGTACAAGAAAAGGAACAGAAATACTCTACTACATAAATGCAGAACATGTGTAATGAGTAATTTTATTGATTCAATAACATACTTTTATTGATTTTATTCTTTCATTCATATATTTTCATTATATTTTTATTACATCTGGTCATCTTTCACATCTCTAAGGTTACATTTGTCAGGCCTAAATATCTTGCCAGCATCACTGAAAATACAGGGGTAGGGAAAGCCACAGGGATCTATGGTTTCTGGCGTGAACTTCTCCAGGCTGCTGGTAAGGCTGTCCTCCTGGCGTTGCAGGCAATCTTTGCTTCCATTTGGGCGTCAGGCGTCATCCCAACTGACTGGAAAACAGAACTTGTAGTCCCTATCTGGATAGGGAAGGGTGATCGCCTGGATTGTGGCAACTACAGGGGGATAACACTGCCGGGTAAGGTCCTTGCTAGGGTCATGCTTAACAGGATCTGTGATCACTTGTTCACCTACCCGCGACCGGAGCAGTCTGGTTTTACACCTAACAAGTCTACCATCAACCGCATCCTGGCCCTGGGGGGGTCATGAGGTTGCTGGAAAGTGGTGTGTGATGCTCCCGATATCTTTGCAAGAGGACAAAGGTCCAAGTCTTTAAAGTCCTGGTGCTCCCTATCTTGCTGTATGTCTGTGAGACATGGACGCTATCCAGTAAGCTGAAACAGAGAGTGGACTCCTTCGGTACCATGTCTCTTCGGAGCATCCCTGGGTACCGCTGGTTTGACTTTGGGTTGAACGAGTGGTTGTTAGAGGAGTCCTGAATGAGGCACATTACCTGCACTGTAAGAGAGCGTCAGTTACAGCACTACGGCCATGTGGCGTGTTTCCCTGAGGGTGATCCAGCTCGCAGGATCCTCATTGCTGAGGACCTGAGCCTCTGGACTAGGCCAAGGGGACACCCTCCTAACACCTGGCTGCGACAGATGGATGGCCATTTCCGCAGGGTGGGACTGAACCGTGTGTCTGCCTGGGAAGTCACCAGCCAGGACTCTGAGGATTTTCGTTATGTGGTGGGTGTGACAAGATGCTGCAGCAGCGCATGCTTCCCAACCTGACCTGATCACTGAAAATGTGTTCACAGGTGCAGGTGAGGTAGGAATGGCTGGGTATTGAGATGCAAGTGGGGCCAAGTAAGGGAAGCAGCTCTGGTTCTGTTTACAGTACTGGACAGGATCTGACCCCTGGCCATGGGATGGGCATGGCAGGCTCAGATGAACTGGTACCTGTTCTGATGCTAGTGTATAAAATACTGTATAAAAGTTAAGTCAAAGTCAAATTTCCACCTTCTAAACCAGTGTTTCACAACCCAGTCCTTGGGAACCTCCAGAATTTTCACAAAAAAATATAGTAAGTTTCTAAACTTATTGCATAACTTGCAATACACAAATAATGATCAAATGCATTTGTAATGTTTAACTTTTTATAAACTACTTAATATTACACGTATAATAAGTGACCTAGTTAGATGTGGAATTTCTTGCAATTTAGTGGAATTCAAATGTTTCCTGTAATTCAAATTCAATTCCAGTTCTGTTTCCCATGAATCAGAAGCAATTCAATTTCAATTAAAACTCCATGAACTGAATTGGAATTTACCTTGCATTCTTAACTGAATTCATGAATCACCCTGATCTTGCTCTCAATATTGTTTTTGCCAACATGAAGCTGTACATATAGCCAGACTCGGTTATTTGATCGGGGCAATGAAACATACATAACAAGCCTGTCAAGTTGTCTCATGCAACAGTCAGGCCCATTGTCAGAGAATTCAGCACACAAGCAGTGTAACCGACACTTTGTGCTAACATAT